GGCAATTGTTTCGGAAGTGGTTTGCCAGGGCCTCCTTCCTAGAGCAGAGCCCAGCTGGCGAGTGCAGGAGGCAGGGTTTCCGTTGCTTTGCGCCCTTTTTCGGGCGAGTGCAGTTTCATGCTTACCGGCAACTGCTCCCGACTCCCGTGCAAGCGCCACCACTGGAGGTTATGTCTCCTAGACGATTGAAAGACAATCTTTTTCTTCTGCTTCTGGTTTGCTTTCTGATTTCAAATAGCTTGGTCTTGTTTCCTGTAGTGTGAAGAACTGAATCATGTGATTCAAAATCAGACTGAGAGAATAGCCAAACTACAAGACATGCTACATAAGAGCCAGCTTGGGCAATTACAGGTATGGCTGTTTCTTGGATTTTTTAAAATTAAGATTTTTTTTCTTTATATCCCCCAAACATTTGAGTTTACAGGTTTGTTTTTTCTTTTGAGTTTTACAAGATGATTAGCTCTAAAATATAATGTATACTAAAAACAAAGGAAATTTCCCATTAAATCCAGAAAAAGTGCAAAATGTCAGCTAAAACATTTCCAATATTGACGTAGATGATACAGTAGCATATTATAAGATGCAAATATTTTACTTTTCCAAAGGAAGAAGGTTAAATAATTGGGTATTTTGGAAGCTAATTCTTTATCTGTTTATAGCCAATAATTAAGGTGAGCAGGTAGAACAATAGTGATCTACTGTCTACAGTAGAAAGTGTACAGTAGAAAGAAATTGATAGATTTGCTAGTATTCAAAATACTTCAGGACTTCATAGTGTTGAACTGTGTGTAGAAATGGTATGAAGACAATGCAACTATTGCTAAGAAGATGGTGTTTTCAAGAAATAATTGGGTTCCTAGTCCATGGCCTAGTTCATCAGTATAAGTGGCTCTGAGGCAGGGATGGTCTGCACCTCACAAGGGTAGGGAGAAATGTGTTCGGCTAGAGCCTTGCAAAGCTTAATAGAATGGTTTTAAAGAAGGGGACAGGAGACAAGGCACAGACCATAAGGTACATAGCTGCATATGGCAATGGAGGAGTCACAAACCTGGAAATATTATCTGGAAATCTCCAATTTCCAGTGGTAGGGAGATGAGTCAACAATGACATCCGCGGGTTCCAGTGTCTATACACTAGTGCTCAGAGAATGGATAACAAACAGGAAGAAGTAGAAATCCTAACATGGGAAAGCAACAATGATCACTTAAGTATTAAGAAACCCAGTGGGATGAGAATCATGATTAGAATATGGAAGTCAGAGGACATTAATTATTCAAAGAAATAGACCCAATAAGGAAGGGAGGTGAAGTGACTTTGCATGTAAACTGGAATTATAAAAGTGGAGCAAGGTGGATGATTTATTGGTTGCGCAGCTATATGCCACCAAATTGGGTTTGAATTTCAGGCCCGGGCTGTGACTATCAGCTGCTGCCAGGAAGTTCTAACTGCTTCCCTTTTTTTCCAGCTGAACAATTGCCTTTATTATCTTTTCTTTGATAATAGAATATGCCTGCAGATCTTCCTTATATTTGTTAAAAAGCCAAATTAAGGCTTTCTTAGCTTCCAGGCAATCTAAATCAAACCAGTGCTTTGATCCTTCTCATGGGATATGAATTGAATAAGAGGGAATGTGTGGTTGGCTGGTATGGTTCAAGTACCACCTTTGTTTTTCCTGTTTCCTTCTACTGCTGGGAAAAAGACTAAAAGAAGCAACAATTCTGTTGCTGAGAGTGTGAATGATAATGGCAGCTGCCTTTATTTAGTAAGTCATCTACGGCCATCCAAGGACAGCTGTCCAGATCATTGAATTCTGCACAGCTTCACATGAAGACTCTGAAATATTATCACAATTGTGGAGATCTCTGATGCCCTGTGATACTCAGAGTGCATTTTTAAAACTTATGCTAATGTCAGCATTTTACCGATCAGTGATTTCTCTGCCTGAACTGCCTCGGTTCTGTTTCCTACTTTTGTATCTTATTAGAACTCAGAGGGCTGTTCTTCACTGCAACAGAAACAACAAATAGCGTTTCTTGATGTACAGAATGCCCTTTTCCTCACTCAGTTGGAAGTGCAACAACTGAAGTGGGCCCAGCAACAAAAGGATCGCCAGTTGGTTGAGGCCAAAAGGACCAGCCAGTTTCTAGAGACAGCGTTGCAAGAAGAACAGCTACAAAAAGAAGCAGCTTGGAGACACAATAAGGTACAGTGTGACCTTATTACTTATATGGAAGAATCTGGGCCTAGATGGGTCAAATAAACTCCTCTTCTCATTGATTGCCCAAGTAGCTTCAGTATTTCTCTTGTTATATTTTCAGACTCAAAAAATATGCATTTGCATTGGAACCTGCCACCCCTTCACATAAGCAATATTGTAGAAATTTCACACAACTGATTTGTGGTAACTTAGTCTGGCCATAGTTGGTATTTTTTACTATGTGATGTTCTTGTGAACACAGCAGTTTAACCCACGGTTGTTTTATTTTGCTTGTTTATTATTGTATTTACATCTTGCTGCAATCCAAATAAACTCTTGAGGGTTTACCTGAAACAGACATATTTAAAATATGAATGGTAAAAATTAGAAACAATTAAAACAAAATCAAACCCAAGGAATCCAAGGAATCAGAAATAAATAAATAATAAAGACTAAGTCCAGCTAGAGTGCTCTGTGGAACAGCTCAGTCTTCAGCATCTTCCTAAATGCCATCTGACCTCCACTGAGAGAACCACAGAATCAGTGCTGCTACTGAAACACAGTGCCTTCTGGAGTCAGCTCTCTTTATTTCCCCAAAATGAGAAATGGAGAGTAGTTTCACTCACAATGGCCTAAAAGTCAGGCCAATTCTGATTGGAGTAAGTGGTCTTGCAAGTACCCAGGTGCCAAGTACTGGTCAAAATCAGTACTTTAAATTGCAGCCAGAAGCCAAGTGAAAGCCAGTGCAAGACCTACAGATAAGTGTTAATGTGCCCCCAGTGTCAGGAGTCTACATACTGACTGCTGTATCTGGACACACTGTAGCATCCAGAGTTTTTTTAAAGGCAGCCTCATATAGAGTGCATTGCAGTAGCCTATCCAGGATAAGTATTGAAACAAGAGCAATAATGGGTCCCAACAGAATTTTAACAATATATTCACTTGATAAAATATTCTAATGCGTGCATACTTCTCCCGATAAGGAAATTCTCTCCCTTATAATTTAATTAAAATTTCAAAGACAGGAATCTTCTTTTTTTCTCAGAAGCTCTCTGACATAGTAATAGCAGAACAAAATACACACGTAGGGAAAAGGAGAAAAAAGACTAGAACAAGTATTGGACTAATGAGCACATGGAACTGTTACCAGCAAGCAAACAATAAATCTTAGTGATTGATAGCAAAAAAGAATAGGTGTTGGCACAAGAATTCCCAATAGATAATGGATTCACTCCCTGTTCTTCATCCTCTCTACCCTTTCGCAGTCTCTGAGGCTCCATAGTTATCAGATAGATGACTGCAAGTAATCCTCAAGTTACGACCATTTGTTTGGCAATCATTCAAAGTTACAACGATGCTGAACAAAGGAACTTATGACCAATCCTCGAAGTTCTGGTCATTGCAGCACCCCCATGGTCATGTGAACAAAATTTGGGTGCTTGGCAACCAGCACTTACCACCAGTTGCAGCATCCTGTGGTCACATGATTGCCATTTGCATCCTTCCCTGCTGGCTTCCCCCAAGCAAAGTCAATGGGAGGCTGGCAAGGAAGGTCGCAAGTCGCTGGGGTAATCTTTCTTTGCTTGTATGCACCCTGCACCCTCTTTCCTCAGCCTCCCTGCAGTCGCACACATACACCCTGAATCCTCTTTCCACAGCCTCCCTGCAATCACACGTGCCCTGTGCCCTCTTTCCCTGAACTCCTTGTTATTGCACTCACACATGTGCACCCCACGCCCTCTTTCCATAGCCTTCCTGCAATTGCATGCACCCTGTGCCCTCTTTCCTTGGCCTCCCTGCAATTGCACACATGTATGCACACACCCCAGTGCCCTCTTTCCTTGGATTCCCTGCAATTATGCACACATGCACATGTACCCCATGCCCTCTTTTCATGACCTCCCTGCGATCGCACACATGCATGCACCCCATGCCCTCTTTCCCCAGCCTCCTTGCAATCACATGGACCCTGCGCCCCCATTCCCGGGCCTTTCTGAGCTTACACTGCACTGAGCACCCCCTGCCCAGCCTGTGCTGGGCCTCCCAGGGCCTCCCCTACTCCCCTGCGGCATCCCCCAAGCTCCTTATCTGGGACTCCCTCTGCTTCCCACTTAATGACCTGCGCGTCTTGGGTTACCATGACAACCAGGACTGCCCGGATTGCCATAATTAAGCAATGTGGTCAATCCCAGTCCCAATTGCAGTCATAACTCAAGGACTACCTGTAGTGAGAAGAGTTCACTCAAGGGGGAGAACTTTCCAGTACTGTATCAGTGCATTATTAGAGAAGTGATCTCTTGGAGAAGGTATGAACTAGGATTTCTCAACCAAGGTTCCGCGGAACCCTAGGGTTCCGCAAGAAGTCCCAAGGAGTTCCTTGGGAGACTCTGATTTATTTAAAAAAAGCAGAGACCAAAGAAAAAGTCTCCAACTTCCAACACTGGGTTGGCCCGCTAGAGTGTGTGTGGACCCCAGGTGGGGGCAGAGATTGTGCACTCGCACGCAAGTGGGGAGGTGAGAGAGGAGGAGCCAAGGAGTGAGGAGGAGAGAAAGGAGAAGCAGCAGGGGGTGAAAGACCATGGGAGAGAGACGCTGCCAGGGCCTCTGTGCTGGGGTCTCCTTGCCAGCACATATCTGCCTTTCTGCAGATCTGGGGCTGGGCTGGCCCAGGCACCAGTGGCTGCAGGCACATGCCTGCCTTTCTGCAGGCGCAGTGGCCCAGGGGGGGTCTGTCTCAGGGTGGGCTCAGGAGATCAAGGACTGGGTGGCACCAGCAGCAGCAGGAGCCACCTACAAAGGCGGTGGCAGGGGGACAGGGAAGAAGGTGGGGGGAAGGAAAAAGTGGTGGTGGTGGTGGTGAAGGCTTTGGCATCAGGGTGCCAAGATTTCAGGAGAGGTTGAGGAGTCCACATATTAAGGGAAAGGGTTTTGGAGGTTGCAAGGCATCAGCTCCCCTCTAGTTTTGCAAAGGGGTCCTTGGGAGAGGAGGGGGGGGAAGAAAGGAGAAGCTGGATTTGGGGAATGAGGTGCTGATGGTGCAGGGAGAGGGGAGGAGGTTGGCTGACCTGACTCAGGGTGCCAGCATCATCTGTGTCCCTGTGAAGCATTTTGCAGTTATCATTCATGACAGTTTGATATATTGCTCAAAAACTGTATATGCCCTTAAAAGTAGCCCAAAATAGTCACCAAAAAACAAAAACAAAACCACAACCTGCAGAGGCCAAAAATTTCCCACAACTGATCTCCAAAACTCAAGTTCGGCCCAGAATTGAGTATTTGTGCAGCAAAAAACAAGCACAGGTTTCACATTAAAGAGGTGCATTTCATTCTTTATTTTTAGTTTAAGAACATGTTAATGCATATATACAGGCCTACACATGAAACAAATATAATTTGTAACTTCTGGCCTATGTTTGAGCCTGAATGTGCAGGGGTTCCCCAAGGCCTGAAAAAATATTTCAAGGGTTTCTCCAGGGTCAAAAGGCTGGTATAGGCAAATGCCTCTTGACTATGCTTCTTAACTATTGCATAGACTATGCAAGACTATGCTTCTTGACTATTTTTGATCAATTAGTTTCAGCAATAAAGGTTCTCTGATTCATTTAAATGACATGCAGAGGAGAGAAACATAAGCCACAGAATCAGTTAATAAGTTCTCTCAGAGAGGAGAGGAAAAATTGTTCTAAGGAAGAAAAAGAAGAGATAGGTCTATATATATTACTAAACACACAAATAACATTAAGTGTATCATGATAAAGACAAAAAGATGGTTAATAAGAAAACCAACAATGTTTTCTATAACACCTCATTAGTGACAACAGCAGAATGGCAGCAGACAAGGCTGCCCAAGGACTACAAGGGGAAAGAGAATGTGTGTTTCTGCTTGAAATGGGCAATAAATGTCTTTCTAATCCCATTTATTACTTATCACCCAAGTTTGCCTTTTAAGTAATGGGAGAAAAGCATTACATGTTTACATATCTTGCAGCTGTTGACTTCAGAAGGAAAGCACTACTTTAGCATCAGTACAACTAAAGGCAACTTACAGTAGGTCTGTTTCGCTTATGGATTGGGGATAGATAAAGGCAACAGCATAGGAGCATGGCAAAAAAAAGATGTCAGGGCATGTAGTAAAGGCCCAGCAAACCTTTAGGAGAAGATAAAATCACATGACTTCCAGAACACTACTTTAAACCAGAGTGGGAAACTTTATCTTTAAGATGATGGCAAGGCAGTCTGCATGTTATGAAGATCTTTAAGATGGCAAGGCAGTCTGCATTTATGAAAGCATTTTTACAACATCACACTGTGTTTCAATGCCTTGCTGCTCATCATACAAAGAAAGTCATCTATTGAACCAGAACCTAGCCATACTGTTGAAATTACTGGTTGAAATTAATATTTTCCAATGGTTTGGGGGCATTTCTGACTCTCAAGGATGGTTTTAATTCATCCTGGAAAAAGTCTACTGAAGGAGATGTGTGCAAGTTTGAATTCCTTTCTCAGCTCTTAATTTCACTTGGCTCAATAGGACTAGAATAATGGTTAAGGAACAAGCATTGCTTCTCCTCTCTTTAAGAAGAGTGTACAGCGGGGTTTACAGCATCCTGCTATTTATTTACTCATGTGAGGACATGTGTAAACTAAAGAAGAGGTTTTATTTTAAGATGCAGTGGTTTATTTTTGGTTACCAGAGGGAGAATTTGTTCAACTTGACTGCTTGTGAGAGCTGGGAAAAGTAAAACTGATGGATCATGTATTAACTTTGAGGTATTTTAAACAATGTGCATAACTGAAGTTCTCTATAATGTGTGGAAGCTACAACAATGTTGCTTAAGTTTTGTCTACTTGCTGTGCTTTCAGAACAGAGGCTACTAAAAATGCATTAGTGGTATGGACATTGAATTCCTTGTTAAATATTCAGCTGTGGATGATCTAGTATAATTTTCTCTTTCTCCCTTATTTTGATTTAAATATTTCTATCTGATCTTGGGTTGTAATTAAATGTATCACTCCCTAACCTAACTCTATTTTTCTATTAATTGTCAACTGAGGGGCTTTTTTTTCTAATTTGCTGCACAGCTAATGAAACTTGTGTGTTTCTTTCAGGAATTCTGTGCTACACTTCAGCAGTTAAAAACAGATTTACAGAACAAGAATGTGCAATGTTGTACTTTAGAAAAGGAAAAATTGTTGGAGATGCATAGACAAGACCAGAAAATTAAGCATTTGACACACAGTCTAGCTTGCAAGGAACAGCTTCTACAGGTGAGGAGCAGACAGGGATGGGCTTTTAAACTCTGACTAGTTGAAGGCCATCCCAAGGGTTTGGAGTGGCAGGGGAGAAGAAAAAGAAAGTTTGAATAATTGAAAATTATAATCAATAAAGGCCTAAGAACCTATTTTGTAGAGGCTGTTCTATTAATTGAAACTGAAGAGTAGTCACTTCCTTGTGAGATGGGCGGTATCTAAATTCAAATTATAAATAAAAAATAAATAAATATAAATAATCACTGCATAATCACTTTAAAAGCTCTTTTTTTCAGTAGAAGGTAAGATCTTTCAAGCCATATGTAATATGTTAATCACTTTAAAAGCTCTTTTTTTCAGTAGAAGGTAAGATCTTTCAAGCCATATGTAATATGTTAATCACTTTAAAAGCTCTTTTTTTCAGTAGAAGGTAAGATCTTTCAAGCCATATGTAATATGTACATAGTTTGGCTTCTATATCAGACTGGAATATGATCAATGGCAATGGCAATTTTTAAAAGATAACTGAACTTCAGAATTTAGTTACAGACTGGCAAACTAAATTGATGGGAAGCATTATTAAAACAGAAAATATTTTATTTATTTACCTTATTAAAACAGTCATATGGCTTCTACAAAGTTAATATTCTTTTTTATAAAGTGTTTAGAATTTTCTGAAGGGGTCAGTATATGAATAGATAAGCATACAACTTTTGCTACAACTTTTAAAAGGCAAATTGTAGTTATCAAGTTGTAGCCATCAAATAAAAAGTTCTTTCAAGAGAATAAGAAAATTTGGTCGGTTCACATATTGAAGGCATTCCATAGAAATGTGTATTAGGACCAGTTCTTTTTACCTTATTTACAAATTATAATTAGGAAGAGCAGTATTATGCTAATAACATCCAATTACTGGATTAGGGTAATTAACCTCAAATGGACAGTGAAGATATTCTCCAAAACTGGGGGAATGGGAAGAGATGCATTTTCTATTGTATTGTAACAAGTGTAGGAAAACATACAAAATTATTTGTTTTTATGTAAGAAATGTATATGCCTCTTTTCAAAATGGGAATTACCTAATAAAATTATCTACAGAAATGTCTAAAAAAATAAAGTGAAACAATTCAATTAAAAGTGGAAACTGTTAACAATAAAATAATTGCTGTTTATTAGAAGACACTTTACAGTAAAATAAAAATTTGGAATTAAAAAATCTTGGGAAAAAATGTATTAGATCCTGAAAATACCATAGGGAAGTCACTAGATACTCATGGCACTTCCTGATAGAAAAAATGTATACATTTTCTTATAGATTATTGATGGTTCTGATAGGCCTTCTGTTTTCCCAGGAATCTAAGGACCTCTTACAGTATCAACAGAATTTGGACAAAAATTCTACAACAGCTGATAAAATGGTACAGAAATTGCAACAACTAATTAAAGATAAAGATGCTGCCTTGGAGGTACTTACAGAGACATCTAGGAAAATCTCTTGATTATTAATTTTTGTTTATGTTTGTGATAGACTTTGAGGCACTGTACTCCTTTTCTTCCTATGTGGGATACAGGAACAAGATGCCAGCTTAATTTTTTAAATTAGGTGTGAGAGATGTGTTTCTCTGATTTAGAAATATGCAGCTGTTCAGTTCCAAAATGGAAAAGGTAATTCTGGGGTATGAGCATGTTTACTGCACCTGCCAAGGCCTCCTTAAAAAAGCTGCAACTTGAATGGTAGCTGCTTGATCCCAAGAAAATATGTGTTTGTATTAAGGAGATGGGACAATCTTGTTGCACTCATGTTAGTGTTCCCTTAAGCTGAATGCATATTTTCCTTGAAACACACAGCTATTGTGGAAGTCCAAGAAAAAGTAACGCTTATTTAAGAAGGTTGTGACAGGTGCAGCAAGACCCCCAGTCTGATTATTTAACTTTTTGTGTCTCATTATTCATGCGATTCTTTCTGGGGGTTGATGGGATTCTATTATAGCAAGCAGTAGATGAGAAGTTCTCTGCACTTGAAGACAGAGAACAGGAACTGAACCAGCTTTGTTTGTCCATGGAAGAGCAAGATCATGATTTGAAAGGACTACGTCAAGTTATTTCTGGCAACAAGGCTACCATCCAGGTAAATTGCCACTCTAAGGGTAATTGCTGTGGTTACTTTATAGGCCATGGCTTTCTGCCCACTAGTGAGATTGAAACTAAAATGCAGTTGTTTTCCACAGCCATGGCTTGAGGTTGACTTGAAGCAGTTCACAGCTAATACTTAATTTTTAGTTCAGTTATATATAGCTGAGTTGGCAGGCCAATGATTTATCTATCCGGGCATGCCTATCCTGACTTGTGACAGTTTTGTAAGATCTCAATGCTATATAAAATTCTTTTTTTTTTAACTATATATAGTTATATAAGGTTGTATATAACTTTATAAGTTAGGGAAGACAATCTAGTGCTCTTAGTTATTTTGGACTGAACTACCATGAATGCCAGCCAACATGGCTAGTGGTAGGGGATTGTAGAAGTTGTAGTCCAAAACAGGTAGGGGCAGTAAATTGCCTATCTCTGCTGTAAGAAACTGAATTTGAACTTGAATGAGTACAACATGATTGCTTCACCATGGAATTTATCCTTTGTCCTAATATGATTTTATTTATTTATATATATGTCAAATTTGTCACTGCCTATCTTGTTGAAACAACTCTGGGCAGTTTACAGCAGAGACAAAATTCATGATTGGCTTTAAAACCATAAGAAGGGTTTGATGGAATCAATACTGATTATTTTGGGCATCAGGAAATCCAGAAAGAGATTTGATTTGTCCCATCTTGAGCTATTTGTTGTTCATGTTTACCTTAAAAGTGCCTAGAGAGCTTGCTGAAAGCCAAGGACCTGGAACTAGAGAAGCTATTAGCAGCCAACCAGAATTTGCAATGGCTGATCAAGAATATAGAAGCAAAATCTCACAGGTGGCAATCTGAACAAGAAGGAATTATCCAGCAGCTGCATGACAGAAGCAAAGAAGTAGAGGTAAGACTTGTGATTCAACTTGTTAGAAAAGAAGCTGGAGAAAGGAATCAGCAGTTCCAGACCTGAGAGAACAATTATGTCATCTTAAGATCTAGAGCACAGTGGCCGGGATGCATAAGAGATACTATCCCAGTTTGTTAAATAGCTCTTGCAATGGTACAGATATGGCTTAGGCATTTTGATATTGTTACTGAAACAGTATGGTGTTGATGGAGCATTGCTATTAATGTTTTCCAGTTAGGTTAGCAGCAAAACAGTACGGGATGGAAGGCTGATCTCATCCAGGCTTATCTTTGTTGTTGTCTCAGACCCTTTCAGCAACACTGCTGTGCAATCTGGAGCCTGGACAGAGGGATGCTGTGGAAGCCCTGCACCTCCACCTTCAGCAGAAGGATCAGATCATAAAAGAACTCCTAAGGGACAAGAGCCGGCAAGTTGTAGAACAAGTGACTGAGCTCGAGGACTTACTTCAAGCTCTGAACACTAGAGAACAGCAAAGCCATGTAAGTGAAGCAGAGTGAGTGAGCAGATCAGTCTGATCATAGAATCACAAAAGGAAAGAATTGAATGGAATCTTACATATCATTTAGGTCAGCTTCCTGCCCAATGTTGCACCTTCCCCTATAGATGACCATTCCAGCCATCTATGTATTCTTGTTCAGGCCTTAAGAAAACTTATTCATGGGTTGAGGAGCCTGATATAATCAAATCACAACACAACCAAGAATCTTGCTGTTGATGATGAAATTTTACCATTATCACATCCCTGGAGGATTCAGCAGAGTTATTCCAAGTACCTTCTGGTGGAATGTCCAGAGGCTATAGCCTGGATATCATACTAACAGAAACTGTTCTGGCTAAATGGGAGTTTTATGTTATTTTATTTGCTTTGTATAAAAATGCTTTTTATGAACTGAAGATGGACAAAAATCTTGGAGAGACAAGGGCTATTAGATATTGTTTTTATTCTTTGTGGCTGCCTGAATGACGAAGGTGGTAAATGCTTGTTGGAGTGTGTTTTCATCACCTCTCAAGAAAGGTGCCATGGCTGTGGTACCCATTCTAGTTTTTGTTTTTATGCTGATTTGGATTTCCTGATAATTTTGATTTTTCTTTTAAATTAGTGATGACCAATAATATTTTTACATTTTTCTGTAATATTGGGAACAAACTATATTTGTCTGGTCAACAAAGTGAGTGTGTGTGAGTGTGTGTTTATAAATATAATATTAAACATTTTTATGGTGACCCATTTATTAACTCCTGCCTTCCTTTCTCCTGGCCTTGTTTCCTAATTAGATACATTCCAAGAAAATTGCACAGGCACTAATAGAGAGAAATTGTGAGCTGCAAGTCCTGCATCAGCAACTGATTAGCCAAATTCTTCAACAGAAAACGGAGACTTCTACTGCTCAGTTTGTACCACAGGAGGACTCTATTGAAGTAAGAGTGTTTGGGTTTATGGGGCAGCACAGATAAGTATCATGATACTCACAAAGATGAGTATCAGGCAAGCCACAGATGGCAAGAGGCAATGATAGAAGGCTCAGCTGGGTGAATCTTGAATTGAAAGAAAAGGGCGGCAAGGGCTAAACAAATGGCAATCACAAGTAGGGTTCTGTATCTAAGCAAAACATTTGGTGACTGTTCAGCATTGCTGTCCTTCAGCATTTACTGTATGTAGAATAGCTGAGATGAGTAGCAATAGGTCCACCTTTGAAAAGGGGGAATAGGCAGGTGTGTAGGTCTGTCAGCTTCAATCAATAAAGGAAACAATTCTAGAATAGGTTAATAAGAGGTTGGGTTATGAACACTTGAAACAATATATTAAGTACTTGGAACTGGCATGCGTTTATCAAGAATAAATCACACCAAAACAACTTTACAGGTAGTCTTTGGGTTACATCCATTCATTCAGCAATTGTTCAAAGTTACGATGGTGCTGAATCATTGGTTCTTGAAATTCGCAGTGCCTCCATGGTCATGGGATCAAAATTTGGGTGGGCTCATATTTATGACTGCCCCCCCCGCCACTGCCCACCTGCAGCACCCACCCACATTCCCTAGTGCCTACCTGTGGCACCCACCCACCTGCCCGCACTCCTTAGCACTTGCCCACAGCAACCCCCTGCCATCAGAAACAATGAAGGAAAACGATTACTTTTTATTTTGCATTAATTAAATTTGAAGGACAGGGAGTCTGCTATACCTAATTCACTAATTTATTGAATAGATGTTGATTCAGGTCCTTTGAGAATAAAAGTGATTGAAATCCCATAATGTAATAAGAATGAATGCATATCAAGTAATATGTAATAGTCCAGTAAGGCACTATTGATATGTGGGAGAAAGTTGCCCTAGGACACCAGGAGTTTTTATTGTGATTGTTTGGTTTTTAGTGTTTTTATTGTCTTGTGAACTGCCCAGAGCTGTGGTTCATAATATGGGTGGCTATACAAGTCTTTTAAATAAATAAATCAATTGGGGTCCTTTTTATTTGTCCCTTTCCATTTAGTTGATGGGGAAATTGTAGACATTCATTCAATGTTGCAAGCAATTTTCTCTTTAGGTTCAAGCTGTGAGAGAGAGGAGGGAATGATGACAGCTTTTATTATCATAGTGGTGTTGAAGTTCATTGGGATCATAAGGGAAACTGTTTTATGTAATAAAATAGAAAACCTGGCACAAATGCTACACTCATTTTGGTACCACATTAAAAAAATATTTGTAATGGCTTTTGAAAAGCATTTTTTAAAATTTAAATTTACAGCTTGCATACTGTTGATTTTGGCTTTAAGCCTCTTAATATGTTTAATTTTTAGGTATTTTTGTGCAGTGTACAAAACTGTGAGATTCTTTTAAAGTGAAGAGTGGTATACAAACATCTAAACTGAAGAAATGCCCTATTGCACTTAATATTAAATGCTAAGAACTCCTGCTTTCTAGAAAAGAATTTAATGTTGCAAATTTAGCCCATACATGAAAATCAGAAAGGCCAAATTTTTTGAATTTTCATTTTCTTTCCTGGAGGCTAACGAGACCAAAACAATAATGAATACTGTAGATGAGTAGGAGCCATGCTTCCTGGATAGAAGAATGTTTAGCTGGCATAATTTAGCTGGCACTGGTCTGGTCCTTCACAGCCAAATTGTTTTCTTTAAAGTTGAAGATTCTGTTCAAAATACATAAAATGTTGGTAAATAAGTATGCAAATTTTTATTCTAAGGCACCAAGGCAAGAAGGTTCTAGCAAGAGTATCCCAGCCATGATTTCTAACAAGGATGACAATAGATCCAAGTGGGATAAAGGTTGGTTCATAAACAATTTCTGAACAATCTGATCCATCTGTTAAATAATGTTTGTCTAAGATTAGTTTGCTTTCTCTTCAGATGCTTTGCAAACGTCTGCTAAACTCGAGAGGGAACTTACTAAAGCAAGAGAGGAGCTTGAATTGTTGACGCAAAAAGAAAGAGAAAGTAGAGTAAGTTTGAGGAATCCTGAGATATCTAGACACCACTTTTAAAACACCTAACTTTTTTGCTAGTTGTATATTGATCTGAAAGAGGACTTGTATATCTCTGATCTCTTTTCATGGAGAAAGAACCCATGAAAGCTGTAAGTAGGTTGAGCAGTAGGTTTTTTCCATTCCTCAGCTGCTGTTCACAGAACCTTAACCTTGCTATCTGTGAGTAATAGTTTAATGTTTACAGAGCTTTCAGCTTTATTGGGTTCCACACACTAGGAAGTGGCTTTATTCCATAATTTGGTTTTAATGTTCCTTAGGCAGAGATGGTTTTGGTTTTTATGGAGCAGTTTCTCCTCTTCTTATGAGACCCATGTAACAATGAGATTTGCAGCTCCATTTTTAACTTGGTTAGAAATAGTGTTTAATGCCTAACATCTATTCTTCCAATGAAAGGAAGATAGCTCTGGACTCTTAGACCATAGGATCGAAAATCCCATTATAGAAAAGGCCATTGTGCCAAATGGTTGGCCTATCACTATCAAGGGCTTTTGGAACTTCTGCATACAAAATTGTTTCCATTTGTTTTCTCCTGTCTCAACCCCATAGCTGGAACTCTCTGCTCTTCAGTCTGTGGTGGCTTCCCAAGAGGAGGAGCTGCAAGTTCAAGCCTCTGATATTGAATCTCTTACTAGAAGCATCCAGATCAAAGAAGAACTAATTAAGGTTGGGCTGCTTACAAAAGTATCTTCAGTTTTGTCTTTCTTTACAGTGTTTCTAGTAGTGAGCAGTGATTTCCTGTTTCTTTATCTGTTGACATTTTTAATATCAAATAGTTATAAGCAGTAGAATTTTTCACATAAAACAGACCTGTTTGTTTTGTCTTTAATCCTAGACCTGTACTACACTTTTAATTTGAAAGTTTCTTCTTTGAAAATTCATATCATTAAAGTTTTGAGCAATGTTGCTTACTCTGTGATGATGCAAGTTCCAGAACCCTGAATTGCTTTTCTTAATTCTCCAGAATACATTCTTCTTCATTTTCAGGACTTGCAGATGCAATTGATAGACCCTGAAGAAATGCCAGCAATTGAACGACTTACTCAAGAAGTTTTGATGCTTCAGGAAAAGGTAGCAAAAATGGAACCACAAGGACAGGAACCCATAGGAAACAAGAGGCAGCAGGTATGATTTAAAAGGCGTCTCTGTCATGTGCTGAATTCAAGCTAGCATGGCTTAAGCTTCTGTTCTGCCTTTCTTCAAAGGAAATGGGATTCTGTATATTGTGTTATTTTTATCTTCATGGCACTGCTGTAAAATACACTGAGACCCAGTTTGGCAGTTAAGGCACCAGGCTAGAGATCGTGAGTTCCAGTCTCACCTTAGGCACAAAGCCAGCTGGGTGACTTTGGGCCAATCCCTCTCTCTCAGTTTCAAAAACCTGACAAGAAAACTGCAGGGATTAATCCAGGCAGTCACCAGGAGCCAATCTGGGGACTTTTAGCAAGCTTAAATGTAGCAGTAAAATCTACACTTATTGCCAAGTGAAGTAGATTGTTCATGTTGCAGCTGCTGGTAATGTTGGAGGGCTTGGTAGCAGAGAAGAATCAGCTGAATGAAACCCTGAAAGTAGAAAAGCAGCTCTATTGCACTTTGGTGAAGTTTCATGCTCACTCTGACAGGTGAGGAGATTATTTATTCCCCTTCTCTAGCTGCAGAAAGTATTGGGATATATTTTCCTGTTACTCACTGCATATTTAAAAAAGATTGTAGGTTCAAAATATTGGAGCGGGGGTAGAGGGGGGTCTGTTTGTATGCCAATAATTTTCTACTCTTTTCTTCATGTCAACAGTTAGGTTAACCCTAATACGTAGGATCCATACTATGTGTTCAGAACAAGTTGGTAGATCTTGGTGGAACAACTTATATAAACTTGTCCTAATCTCCTTCCCTTTGTGCCTGGCCTCGCCAGCTCCAGACAAGAACAGACTCTTCAAGTAGAACTGGAGAAGGTCCAGGCACTCCGTGGACAGCTGGAAGAGGCCCTTGGAAGAAGCCAGGAGTGCCTGAGCAGGCTGGAATCATTGGATAGCAAAGGAGGTGGGGGAGCGTGTGACAATCCCGCCCAAGCATGCCTTCTGAGCTCTGGCCTTCACACTGCCCCTGGCACAGGACGGAAGCTGAACTAACAGAGCAAGCTTGTGTTGACACTGGGAGGGCTGATTAGTAGTTGCTGGAAATGGCATTTTCTGCAAGCTATGCGTGCATCATTCACATTCCTAGTATGGGCCTACCAGAGGGAATATAAATACATTTTAATTCCTTATTCCTTTCTAGTTGCACCCACTTTCTTTCTCCCCTCCCTTCAGTTTGGCTAAATAAAGATTATTCCCATCCCCCATTTGTGGTTAATTGTTATGTGCCATATTTTATAGAGATGTGGAGAGCAGGAATACGTTTTGTTTTTTTAATTTGCTGCATTTGTTTTGATTGTTTTGTTTTTATTGAGTTCCTCCCCATGTTTTCATGTAAGACATTTTTAAAAGTCTAGAAACAGCATAATCTTACTTTAGGTCATCTTAAAATTATGTGAAGAGCTATGTTCCCACTCAGGTTTGGCTTCATCAGAAACAGAGTATTCCCATGTTTTACCTGAATGTTGTACAAACTTGCAGAGGCACAATATATGTTCTATTTTATTGATTCTCCTTGCATAAAGTGGTAGCCTTGTTTTTTCTTGCCAGAAAAAATACCTCAAATGTCACAGTTCCTGGAGTTACATAAATTGGTGTGGTTTTATGCTTTTCACACTTATCCCAACCACTTTCAGAATTTTTCTAATTAGGTGAAGATAAATTACTACTTACCATTTGATTTTTCTGTGTTGATTTACATAGTCTTCCTTTTCTTCCCAAGGTCCCTAATGTAACACGCACACACGCACATGCGCACAAACATATATAGGATCACTGAAACCTTAAATGATAGTACAGATTCTGTGCTGTACTGTATTCAGAAAGTGCAGGTTTAATGTTGGTAACTAATGTAATGAGGAATCCTACCTCATTAAGGATACACATCTTCTCCAGGAAGCAATTGGGAAGAAAATACTACCAAAATAATTTTAAATTCCTCATAGTTTTGGATATTGTTACATACATACAGCTTTCAAAATCACATTAGTGTTTCAACAGTTTGTTTTGAATAAGCATTTTTCAATTATGTATTAGGTTTTATTAGATGATGTTGTCTAAAATATGTGTGTTATTTCACATTAAATGTCTTTGCTACTGAATATTATTAGAGCTTTGTGTAGGTCCTGATATATAAAGGGTGCCAGAGTAAACAAATAACACCAAACTTTGTCCCGTTTCATTCATTTCATAAACACAGACATCTAACATGTGACGTGTCAGTATAATTATCCCCAGTCAATTCAGTTAAAGGAATATTAGGACCAGAAAGATTATTCATTAAACCATCAGGACTGATTTAGGCCAGCCGATATAAATCTCTTTTCCTTTACAAATTTTAGAATACTAAAGGTATAGTTTGATGACAAGAAAAATATGCAAGGAGAATCAATAAACTGCCATCACTTTCCCCAGATATATGAAGTGGAAAGTGATTTTTCTGGCCTGAGATTGGCAGTCTCAATTAGAAAGGTAAGCTGTTGCTCCCAGCCCTCCAACGAATTTATGAGTGCATTTGCAACTGGGAAAGTCAGGACCCTTGTTACTGACTTTGAAATGGCATAAGATATTTTGCATATGCACATCTCTTCCACAATGACACTGTATATCCTTTGAAACACTTGCCTTCAGGCTGTTGCCTGAATCTAGTTGCCAGTTGATTGATTTGGCCAGACTTGTGACACTCTGTCCTTTGTTGCTCATTGATATAAACTTTTAACATGAAATTCACTAATGTGTGATGGGAACGACTAGTGATATGGCTTTGAAAGAGGACAATGCCTACTAGCTTTAATAAGTGACCACTAGAAAATCCATAGGTAATGTGCCTGTAGTAGCTTGGCATAGATGGGCTCTTAGGAACCTGGACTGCTTATGAGAGCATCTGGTTGGCCAATCTCCAAGACAGACATTTTGGTCTAATTCTGTAATCCTTATTTTATTATCATTATTCAGGAAGGTATATCATCTCTCTGGCAGGTAGATGAATTTCTTTAGGCATATCATAAATATTCCAAAACTAAGTACTGTAGCAAGAAAATCCTCTGATAACTGATACAGCAATTATCATTACTGAAACCTGCTCCAAAGACCAGAGAAAAATAGTCATTGCTTTCAAGCCAGGAGACCTACTTAGATCGAAAGTTTTTTATTTGTTATTCTGTTGTTTCAGTTATTTATTTATTTATGCATGCTCGCTCATCTCTGGCCCACTTCTTTCTGCAAGCAGAAAGTTTGGTTGGAATGAGGTCAAATAACTTAAATCTACCATTTTCTTCTCTACCCAGTCAATCTCCCGGTGTGCTATTAGAGCTGGAAGGGAGATTCTCATTGCCCTTTCCCTGTGAAATGAAGCAGCAGGCTTTGGGGTGGGGGATGTGAGTAGTAGTTATTGGGACCAGAGTATAGAATGAAAAGGTGGAACTTGCTCTCCCAGTTAGCGGCAGTCACAAGGGATGTTGCATGTGTGCTTACATGCTTGCTCTTTACTTTTAAATATGCATTTATGTGATTCCTAGTAATACAAGCTTGGTATCAAAACTATACAGTTATAAATTGCTTTATTAATTTAGGCAGATTCTGTGCTTGACTGACTGGCTTCTTACTATAAATGTCCAGAGGATTCTCTCTGTATGTAGGGATTCAATTCAGGGTTTTTTTTTATTTTTACATTTTATTTTATTCATATTTTATTTTTATCCATCCACTCCAAAAAATGTATGGTGTCATGGTTCCCCCCAGCTTCTGTGAACTAATTTAATAGCTGTTTAAATAGCTGCTTTTGTTTTTCATTCTTGAAATGTGCAGTGCCCAAAATACCCTATACTCAAAAACATTAAAAACACATAATTACTTTAAAAATTAAATCAAGGAGACTAATAAAAAAAAAAGATTCCAAGAGAAACAGAAAGAAACAAAACAAATACTAGCTAGGATATCCTAATTACAGGGGTAAAGAAGTTTTTGATGGCAGAGACTGATCTGGGGAAGGTGAAGGTGGGATTCAAAACCATGTGGGCAGGGATATTGCTTTCCCTTGGGAGTTGGGTTTTTGTTTTGTTCAGTTTTGTTTTTAATTCCACCAAGATTGCTTTGGGCTTATACACAGGTTTTTGAAAAGTTGCATCTCGAAATTTTTCTGATCTATGATCATAATAATTTTTTTTGATTTTTTTGATTTGCATGTCAAAATGGTAGGAAATAGAGCCAATTTTTAGCTAGAATCTTTGGAAAAGCAAAACTCTTTGGTCTGTTTTAGGGAATTATTTTGATTGTATAAAAAAGTACATTTCTACTTTCTGGAGTCTGTAGGAAAATTATTCCCCACCATGTGTTCACTGTAAAATTGATAGTCTTTCGGGGACTATATAGTCACATTAGGTTAAGAAAAAGAAGATATTAAGAGTTTTAACAATATTATGCAAATGTCTTCATAGAATCATAGAAGTTGGAAGGGATTTTAAAGATCTTACATTTAAAAATTTTAAAGATTTTAAAGCCCAACTTGCCCAGGGCAGGAATCCACTACTATAGTATCCCCAATAAATGACCATCTCCAGCTTTTCCAAATGAAATTTACTTCTTTTTAGTTTAAACTGCAACCTTCCATCGACTTTTCACAAATTAATTCAGCACTTTATTCCACTGTAGTTATTTATAGCTAGGCTGAAGTAGCTAGCAGCCCTGGCTAACTTATCCTACTTCCTGTTCTCTCCAGGAATCCAAAATAAAGCATTCCAAACAATTGGTTGTCCAGCATCCACTTGAATCCATCCTGTAAAGGAAAACCCACCACTTTTGGGGGTAATTAGTTCCACTTTTGAACTCTTCTTACTGTTGGGATTTTTTTTTTTTTTAACATTCAGTCAGAATGTGCCTTCCTATATACTTCAGCACTTTTACTCCAAAATGGTAAAATTGACATTTGGGTTTCTGGAAGTAGGCAGAATCTGGGCACACAAATTGGTGTCTTCAAAAAGGCCTGCCAAATCATTTTTTCTTGCTTCCTATAAGGCTGAGATCTGAAAATACAAGTTGGTTTTGAAATACTGCGCGATTGCTAGCACCAGGAATTTGAAAGGCAGCATGTAAAGCAGGAGTTTATTACACTTTTGGTAGTGATGATCTCCCTAAGGGCAACAGTCCCAGGGCAATAATGATAAGGATTTTGCATGCCCAGGGGCTGGTACACTCTTCCTAGCATCCTTCCTAGCAAATTTCTTTTAAGCCACCTTTCTGCTAGTGGGCTTGCAAGCAGTCTGATGAACATGAGCCATTGTACAACTCGCAAAAGGTTCAGTCATTAATAGATATAATTGTCTGAAATTATTCCTGAACAATAGCCAATGTTTAGATGCCTACTTTTTGTAGAAATATTGCCACCTACTCAGATTGTAGAGGCAGGACAGTATAGTAAGTCTGACAGCATGACTATACGGTATGCTGCATTGCCCCTTTCTTCTCTCTGATTCTATCAAAATGGTAATTTTGGCATGGATACAAGCAATCTCATCTGTATATACTGCAGATTGGTTACCGTGGCCAGTGATACAGATTACTGTACTACAGTTTCTGCACACAGAAACCCAGTGTAATATTAATAAAGCCAATTAATAAAATATTCTTTAGAAGTCCTGTTAAGTAGGTATGATGCCTGGAACTCTGCACAATCCTGTATACTGTACTGAGTTCACATTGTTTGTCTTGTAATTAAATGTTACAGTACTAAACTACTGAAGCGGGATCTTACCAAGTTCAGTGTTTCTCCAAAATGAGCAGTGTGCTGTTCTGAGAGAGGGAGTGGTAAACTCCAATGCTTTGCCCAAGACTGAAATCAGAAGGAGCCCGGTAACACCTTTTGAGACTAACAAATGTTGTTAGACGGCATAAGCTTTTGTGAAATGTAGC